CTCCAGCTCAGGATACTGCAGTGTCTGCACGGCGCCGTAGGCAGACAAGACCCCCGGGCCACCTGAGAGACTTTGTGTAAAGTTGTTGCTGTATTGTTTGTAGTTTCTGTTTCCTCAGGGTCGAGGAACTTTGACAGAGGGGGGTAATGTAGCGAGTGTCAATGACCGTGTAGCTGTCAATCAACTATGGTGAACCCCGGACGCGCTGTTGGTTGGCCGTCTGGGGAGAGGGGAGGGGGGTTGAGGAAGTTCGCCTGTTGTTTTTGTTTTTGGGCTCTGTTCTGAAGCTATGTTCTGAATGCCTGCATGTTGTGATCTGGCGAATAAACCAAGTTAATTGAACTCTGGCCTCGTGTGAGATGCTACAATATATTGTTTATATCGAAATATATGTACATTGTACATATATCAATATACAGTATATTGAGAACATGCACATTCTGTAACGATGCAGGCAGGAATGAAGCAGAGAGTGAATCCAATCGCAAGCACTTTAATAAACAAACAAACAAACAAACAAACAAACAGGTAAACCAGGGTAAATGACAGAACACTCAGAACAGGAACAGGGAACTCAGGACGGGAACAAGGAGACAACACACATTAAACATCAAGAACTCACAAGGACTGAACTAAGGCCCTGTTTACACAAGATCGCTTGGGGGTGAAAGCATAAAAATATTTGATCGGATGTTCCTTGTGTTTACAAGGTGGCGGCGTGTTGGGGGCTTAAAACGCAAAAAAGTGAAACCACCCTCCAGAGTGGAAATCTTAAAAACGCTCCCCAGCCATGTTCCCGTAAGAGTAAAAACACAAAAGTATGTTTGGCTTCGCAGGCGCGTGGACTTGGTGTTGTTGTGTGGCAGTGCTTCACGTTGCCACCAAGCCGCCTGGAGTGCAATCTACATTGAATTTCACACACTTTTGCATCACCATATGCGCGCGGATTTCCCACCCAAAACGCTCGTCTAAACGCAGAATAAAAAGAGATAATGCAACGCCACTTTTGCGTTTTCTCTTCAGAATCGTTTCCGTGTAAACATAAAACACAGCCTACAGGGCTTAAACACTAGCGAACACAAGGGGGTGTTGTTAAACTGAAACACTTGGGAAGACTAATCAACATAAAGGGGAACAGCTGCACATGGGACAAGACACATGGCAGGATCACATGACAGAACAAGACAAAGGAACAAGACAAAACACACCGTGACACATACAATGTACATATACGGTGATATAGTATTTAGTATAAGTACATGTAACATCTAAAATATATATGAATACTTAATAAATATTCAACCTGCAATATGTGCAAACCATAATACCACATATTAACACAGACTAATGGGTAATCTATCAAAAGCCACCTTTATTTTTTTTTAAATCAGGCACAGATACTAAACCCAATTTGAGGTTGAGCTAAAACCACAAAATGCCTTGCATATGGTCAGACAAAGGAAATGTGATTGACTACATTTATTAACAGTGCAACATTTTTAAGAGTGCAATTGAACAGAAAATATTAAAATTATACAATATAAATTAAAGGAATTTCAATGACAAATGTCTCTTTCAATCTTTCAGCAGTGCTGTTATGAAACATAAATAAAATATCTATAAACAAAATGCACAAATAATAAGGAATAAATAAATAATAATAAACAATATACAAACTTTCAAGGACCTTAGTGAAATGTGGAAGAGCATATATGTTTCAATAAAACTTATTTGTGTAATGCAGTTGCAGTAATTATTTGTAAATTATTAAAGATATTTTAATTGAGCTAAATATCTATGCCATGCATGTCCACATGGTTGTTTATTTGGAAAGTATAAAATGTAAATATATTTGGAAAGTATAACACGTAAAATCATATATATATATATATATATATATATATATATCATATAAATATATATATATATATATATATATATATATAGATTGTAAAATCTCTGCTTCATTCCTGCCTGCATCGTAACAGAATATGCATGTTCTCAATACATATTGATATATGCACATTTATTTAAAATATTTTTCCACAATATATGGAGCACCTATTTATACATATATTTTATTTATATATTTCCATATAATTGTATTTAAAATATATTTCACAATATATTGAACACATAACTATACATATATTTTATTTATATATTTCCATACAATTTTAAATATATTTTAAATATATTACACAATGTATTGAACACATAAGTATACATATATTTTATTTATATACTTTCATATAATTGTACATATATTTAAAATATATTCCACAATATATTGAACACATATCTATACATATATATTTTTTATATATTTCCATACAATTTTAAATATATTTAAAATATATTCCACAAGATATGAAACGCATATCTATACATATTGTCACAGTCTCGTCTGCACCGTTCTGTCTGCGTCTCCAGCACTTCACTTCCCAAGATCCTCTCGTCACCCACACCGGAACTCACTCCCTCATCAGTCTCCTGTTCATTGTCTCGTTCATCAGTATCACCTGTTTTCACCCCATTAGGTTTGATTCCTCTGTGTATTTAGTTCCTCCTCATTCAGTCTGTCCTGGTTGATCGTTGTTGTATGTAACCCTGTGTTGCGCCCGTAAACCTGCTTACCTGTATTTTGAATTAAATATTATCTTCATGTGAATCTGGACTCCTCCTGTTCCTCAGCCTGCACCACACCGTGACACATATATTTTATTTATATATTTCCAGATAATTTCATATATATACATATATTGCAAACTTTACAAACTTTAAAAAGACAAACTATATGTAAAAAATATAGTGCCCTTTTATAAAATATAGTGTCTTGATTGCAATATATGTATCTATATATACATATATGGACTATGCATATATTACAATATATCGGACAATATAAATATTAAATCCTATATATGGGAATATATTGCCTAATATATCACATGGTATATTCCAATATACTGCAATATATTTTTGTTTCGTAAGGGGTAAAAGAGACAGGCGTCTATTTGGGATTCGGCTATTCTTTGAAGTTTTACGTAAGTATACACTTAGTTACACTATACTCTTAGTTACACTGTCACTCTACACACAATGCATTGAACTGTTACGTATTCTCCACTAACGTTGTCAGTGTCGATCTATCAGTTATGAAAGGGCTAGCTTTATTAGATAGCTAGGCTATATAATTGCAAAAGAAAAGGCATGTGAGTCGGCTGTTTTTGCCAATTTTAAGGTTTAATTTAAATATTTGCCATTTTAATTTAGTAAATTTGACCATTTGCTTGAGCAACTTAATAGAAGTAATGCATGGAATAATAGCCCTAACTTACATTGTTTAAATTGTGTTTAAACGTGTCGCGCATACGTCCATTAAAGAGTGTGTACAAAGAGAATCGCAATGCTGACAACTTTTTTTTTTAGATAAAAGTTGCAACAAAACTTCTGGATTTTAAATAAAAATAGTAAGTATGTGTTTGTGGTACAGCCGCGGATCAGTTATTCACTGCAAACGCAAATGTGAAAGCACTATAGCACCCGTTACTCTTGCACCGCAACACGCACTGCAAACGGGGTGTGTGAAACGGGCGTTAGATGATAGATCCACCTACAGTTCCTAGAAACTTAGATGTGTTTAACAACTCTTTTTTTTTTTTTTCGTACAACAGCAGCACTTATCTTGTTTGTTTATAGCGGATGCGGATGAACAGTCCGGAAACTGACATCTACAGAAACTGACATGCTGACTTCTGACAATAGCGGAAGTTCAAAACTACGCTTGTGCACATATAGCCTACAGTGCGCTCTCGACATTTGACTGGAAAGTAACGCCATAGTTCTGCTGCATCCATCTTCCCTGTAACGCAACACCAGAGTACTGCTGTATACCCTCGGCCTCGGAAACAGTGTCGTGCGGCGCAGCGAATGAAATACATCGGTATGGCGGTATATTAAAAATTAATATCATACCAAAAACATACACCGGTTTTCAGTTTGAACCGATAAACCGCCCAGCACTGATGGACATTGACATGTTTCCAGGAATAGGGTTGCTAACAAAAACATATGATGAACAAGACAATGCATAAGACTTACAAAGAATAACACAATGACTCTTTACCATAATGCTTTTTCTCTGCATTCAAGCTGAACATTATTGGTGCCACTCAGTCTTTCTGCCACTGAGTGGGTGTAACCGCAGTGACATCATGTGCATACCCTCTTTACAAGTCCAGACTTGATGTTTTCCTGACAAGTGTTTAAAGAAACAGTCTGATGGGTTGGAAAAGGGTGAACCAGACAATACCTGATGCCTCATATAATTTACCTGCTAAATACCACATTATGCCCATTTTACTGTATGTTCTGCATCTTGTATATAACACAGGTCTGGCACTTGCTGGAAAACATTCAGTAAATCTTTGTTTTCTTATGTCAGTTTGTTGACTATAAAACAATCCAAAAATGACTGATCAGAACCCCTTTAATCATTGGCAGGCATCGTGAGGAGCCCTTTGAAGCTGCCCAAGTATGGATTTGGGAACATCAAAAATGGACTATGCTGATTCCCAATCACTAGCATTAAATGGAGAAAATATTTTCCTCCCAAACCTTAATTTCTCTTTGGGTAAGGAAAGAAAGTCATGTATATTTTGGATGGTCTTGGGGTGAGTAAATAATCAGGATATTTAATTATTATTATTTTTATTATTTCATTTTGGGTGAACTATTCCTTTAATATATTTAAAAATGGTGTTTATTCCTGTGAGGCAAAGCTGATTTTTCGGATTTTTCGTGTCAAATGTACCTTTATAATTTTTGTGACCATCTAAAAGTCTTTGTTGTCACTGATAAATCCAATGCATACTACATAAGATGATCAATTTCTTTTAAAAGAAGTTGAATACTTATTGTAAACTTCACAATTATTTGATATTAGGCAGAAACAGGCTTCCATGATCTGTAAAACAAAAGCTTCAACTGTACATTACCTTCTGTCCAGGAGGGCCTTCAGGTCCCTGGAAAGAGAAAATGACAAAAAGGAGTTAAAACGCACCCAAGTGAACCAACTAAATCAATCTTATGCACTGCAGTGTACTTTAAACTAACCTTTTCTGCTAAGCCACTATTGTAACTATTTAATGAGGCCTGAATTATAAAAAGTGTTGATATTGATAATGAAATGATATTTATGATTATATTCCAAATTGTATTTCTTTGTTACCATACCACATTGTTATTTTTCAATATAAACTAAGATAAGAAAATGGCAGGCCTTTGATAAGTGTCCAAAAAGAAAAGCCATTTCTTTGTCTGATTGATTCAAGCATTGACCAAAAAAATATGTTGTCGTCTGTACACTGGCAGGCAAAGGAGCCAGCCTTAAGCAAATTGCTGTTCAAATCTCCCTCTGGTTAAGGACAACAAAAACATTACCATAAAATATATATTACATTGTTATGTAAAATACTAATCACACCAGGCCATAAAAGACAAGAACAATACAATGCCTAGATTTGCCCTGAAATTTTTGTCCAAGTGACAGAAGTGGAGATTTCCATTACATGAGAGTAGATGTTAAAACTTCATGCAGATTTTAGGCTTTTGCCAATATACAGGTAAGCAAAACTAAGATGTAGCTTTACAGTAAATGGTAAATGAACTGCATTTATATAGCGCTTTCATAGAACTAATGGCCACCAAAGCGCTTTACATTTGCCTCACATTCACCCATTCATACACTCATTCATACACCGACGGCGGTGTCAGCCATGAAAGGCGCCAGCCTGCTCGTCGGGAGCATCTGGGTTAGGTGTCCCCCATAAACTATGCTTCTCCATCCATTTCTGTGTGGCGCTAATGGCTGCAGTGTACATGGCGCGTCAGCACACACGACGGCTGCAGATACAGTGTGGTCTCCCTAGTGAACCAGCACGACAACCGTCTGGACTGAGCCGAGTAGGGTACATCTCTAGGGTCTTCAAGTGGGCACCTTCCGCCCACAGTGTTTCATCGACTAGCCCACGACAGGCTCGAAGAGGGCTCGACAGTGACTCTGGTGTCCCCTTCTGGCATCCCAGAGTCACCCCCCTCCGTCCGCTACTCAACTCAGCCCAGCTTACTGACCTCTACATCCATCCTGCTGCTGAGACCTAACCACAATCTCACAATCTCTCTGCAACCCAACGATACGCGCCAACCTGTTTGACTAAGGCTGTCGAGCCCCACTGGTGCGTTAATGCAGTTTCAGTGGCAACGGTTCCGTATGGCATACCGCAAAACACAATATCTGCCCAACCACCCATCTATTCACGCAATATACACAGGAACGTAATGACTGTAAATACTAGGCAACCTATACAAATAAGGCAACAGACTCTTCAAGTTTTCCAGAATTCTACAAAACCATATCGTGGCGGCCTGTACACAGCCAGCTAGAATCTTTCCGTCTCAACCACAGCCAGTTGCTGTTCCTTTCTGCTGTTTCAGATAAGTTCTTTATTGTGCAACTCAACTCTTGGCCACTGAATCCGACGTCTCTGAGGAACCGGGTTGTAGAGTGTGCCACAAAACCTCGACAACCCACTTCCACTGGATAAACCTAGACTCTCCATCCTCGCTGTTCTGCTCCAGTGGCCAGATGAGCATACCGCAGTTTCTTCCTCTCATTTGCCTCATCTACTGCATCCTCCCATGGCACTATTAACTCTATCAGTTGAACAATGCGTGCTGATCTAGACCACAGAACAATATCTGGTCGTAGGTTAGTGGTGGCAATCTCAGGTGGAAAAATAAGCCGTTGACCAAGATCAGCCAGCATCTTCCAGTCCCTAGCAGCTTCCAGTTGTCCTGAGCAAGAATTGGTGGTAACACCTTTTCTTGGTGGTTTCTCACCTGGGTGGAGGAATTTTATCTTCTGCGTGTAATGTTTTGCTACAACAGGCGGCAACTTATTGGTCATACTATGCTTGCCTTCCAATTCTAAAGCCAAACATTGCAGTACTTGGTCATGGTGCCAAGTAAACCGACCTTGGCTAAGAGGTCCATCCTGTCAAAATGTGCCTAAATGTGGCAGGTGATGAACACAAAGGACAAGAGGGATCCTCTCCTACCCAGAGGTTTAGGTTCTGTGGTGATGGGAGAACATCATATGTTGATCCAATAAAGAAACTGATCCTACTCTCTTCCATTGACCAAAGATCTTGCCAGCCCATCTTGCGTTGTTCCACACTCTCCCATCTCATCCACTCTCCCTGCTTAGCCTGGAAAATGGCCTTTATACACCTCATCCTCTCCTCTTGCTTTCGCACCTTGCTGACTACCAGCTTCCTCCTTTGAGCTAGGCCTGCCTTGTGCCATTTAGGAGGAGCTAAACTGAGCCCAAAACCCCCTCTTCCATGTTGTACCTGTCCCATGATATCCCCAATTTGAAAGGCAGCCTTTGCTTCTACTACAGATTTCTTTGCTGACCAGTTTTTACCAGTTTAACACAGGGGCGGCCTCCCTTACACATTTGTTGCGTGACTCTACTAAGGTCATTTCCAGTCTGACCTTGGCACACTTAAACTCCTCGGTTAAGGCAGAGACTGGCAGCTGCAATATTCCTTTACTATAAAGTCCCACTCTGCTGAGGCAGCGTGGAACTCCCAACCATTTCCTCTTGTATGAACTTATTAATGCTTATCCATTGTTGTCAAAGAAACCTTGTACACAGTCAGTGGCCACAGCAACCTTGGCAGTAGACCAAACTGAAAGCATCAGAGCTTTAGTTTGCCTGGTAGAGCACAGCTGTTTATGCCCTTCAACCCTTCCACTGCTTGTCGTCCAACTTCTCCTACTCAAACTGTGTCCTTTAGATCCCCATCGTACCATCTCCCAAGACTCTTCACTGGCTTCTCAGAAACTGTTGGTATTGCCTCACCATTAATGAAGAATGTTTTATCTATTACCTTTCCTTTAACTATGGAGATGCTCCTTGATTTAGAGGGCTTAAATTGCATTCGTGCCCATTCAATATTATCTGTTAACTTCCCCAATAACCGATTAGAGCAGGCTACTGTTGTAGTCATGGTTGTCATGTCATCCATGTATGCTCTGATTGGTGGTAGTCGCATCCCAGAAGCCAAGCGTACCATTGCCATGGTAAAAGCCAATGGAGAAATTGTGCATCCTGCCATTATTCCAACCTCTAAGCATTGCCATGCAGTGCTGAATTTTGGAGTTGAAAAACTAAATTGCAAATCTCCAAAATATGTTTTTACTAACTTTGTTATAGACATTGGTACTCTGAAAAAATCAAATGCTGCCCAAAGAAGTTCATGTGGCACTGAACCATATGCATTAGCCAAATCCAGGAATGTCACATGGAGCTCCTTCCTCTCAGATAACCAGATCATCCAGATAACATTGATGTGTTCTAAGCATCCCGAGAACCCTGGAATGCCCACTTTTTGAACTGGTGTCAATGAAGCCATTCATTGTCAAGGTAGGTGGACAATCTCTGGACAATAATGCTGAAGAAAATTACCTTCAACGTTTAATAGCGAAATAGGACGAAATTGACTGATGCTTGTAGCATCCTTTTCTTTAGGTATAAAGACTCCATCTGCTCTGGGCCATACTCTAGGTACAACCTGTTTTTCCCATGCCACTTTCATAAATTTCCACAGAATTCGCAGAACTCCTGAAGCACTCTTGTACACTCTGTATGGAACTCCACTTTGGGCCCTGGAGATGATGAAGCCCTTGCATTTTCTCAGAATGCTCTACCTCTTTCCACTTAGGTGCACAGACCTCCATTTGGTATTCTGGTGGGTTGATAGGTGGTATGTCTGATGGAATTGACATAGTCTCATGCCTTTTTGCATCTGTATTATGCATGTCCTCCAAATATCTCTCTAGCTCATCCCTAGATGCTTAGTGCCATTCTTCTTACTGGTGAATAACTTCTTTACGAAGAATAGGCATAAATGCACACTACAGGCCTTTAACTTCCCTTAACTGTGAAAGGGCACCATACTTCCTTGTACACAGTGGTTATTTTTTACTAGTCACTGTTTTTTTTTTTTTTTTTTTTTTTGGAAGGCAAATATTGCCTGCTACAGTATATGTGATGCCTGGAGCAAAGAGATCGTCTCGGTTACGGATGTAACCCTCGTTCCCTGAGTAGGGAACGGAGACGTTACGTCAGAAGTGACGGAGAATGGGGGGTTTCGCATAGAAAGCCAATCCTCTTCGAGTATTTAACAACGAGCCAATGGCATGAAAATGCCTTGGGGCTGCGGAATTTGCATAGCGTATCTCCGCCCCACGCAGTGGGTATAAAAGGAGGAAGTGAACGCAACCACAGTATGTCTTCGCTGAGGAGCCAAGGCTGAACTCTGGCGTCTACCCAGCGATACAGCTGAAGTGGCAGGGAGACGTAACGTCTCCGTTCCCTACTCAGGGAACGAGGGTTACATCCGTAAACGAGACGTTCCCTTTCGTAGTCACTTCGAGTTACGTCAGAAGTGACGGAGAATGGGGGTCAGTGCCATCACGCCATCTTTAAGCTATCTTCCAGTGCCCAGTGAAAGTCTGGACCCCTGAACCTCTTTTTTTTTTTTAAGGGATCCCACTTTGACACAGGATTACCAAGGTACACTGGGAAACATATCCCGGGAGGGACATGCTACCAGATGCCTACCGAAGGAGGACTTACAAATACGCATATGGCCGCATAGGAACGCATATGGAGATCACTGGAGCACCAACCGCAGCTGGCTACTAGAATTTAACTCCAGGGGTGGCAGATGGCTTGCCAAGGGAAGACACATGCTCAGAGAGGCTTACAGTGGATAATACACATGAGACAGTTACCATAGGGAACCGTGCACATGGAGGCACCTAGCCGGCATCCAGAACAACAGCAGTAGTGCCCGCATCGTCGGTGCTGGAGGACTCAAGGCTTCAACGGAAGACACTGAGGAAATATCGCACTTATCCGAGGAGTGGAATGGCGAGCAAGCGAAGACACCAA